CATGGAGAATGTAGGGGTCACCTCGAGTGAAGAAACAAGATTTACTGCCTCGAAGCAGGCCTCAGACAGGCCTGACGAGAGGACAGGAACTCTGTCACAAACTGAACTCTATTTAGGCCATGATGGGTCATTATAACCTAGGAGAATTTCTCAGTTCTCTTAGTCAGGTAATGGACAGAACAAGCTTTTCTGTTCATGATTCATTTGTTGTTTAACTAAGAATGTTTATGCATTTGTTAAATCATGATAATGACTGTCACAAGAAAGTGGAATCACTTCTACTCTTTTATCGTGCCTAAAAGATTAATTAATGGTATAAAAAAATCACAGCATGTTTTCATTGTGTTTTTATGTAAATCACTGTTTTTATTTTACTGGGAACACAGTAATATAATTGTGGGTTTTTGAGAAAATCTTTCATTTATCTGGACTAACAGAATGGTTCAGACTGATTAAAACAGAAATGTTAATTAATCATCATAAATGTTTTGCAGTGATTTCTCTTAGAGTCTATCTGGAGGAAAACTAAAGAAATGTTTATCAAAAAAATAAAATAGATCCTTGCTAATTAAATTACTCTTATAACCTTGTTATAAGAAGTGTAAGCTGACCCTTACAAGAACAATCTGCAGGACACCTTCTCAGAGACTGTGACTCTGCTGAAGATTCTCATCACATCTCCTCTGACCACAGCTGAATCTGAGAGGAGCTTCAACACTGAAGACAATCCAGACTTTCCTCAGGTACAACATCACATTTCACTGCACTGATCATTATCTATAGAGAAGAATCTGGTTAAAACATCCCTGAATTTAACCAGAGTCATGAAGAAATTAGCCTCTCATTTAAAGAAGAGCAAAATTTATGTAGAAAAATAAAAACTAAATGACATTGTAATGCTGTTTTATTATTTTCATTTGTTTAATAAATACACTGTCGTGATACAACTTAGTAACACAAGGTTGAGCTTTGTCACCTGATACGCGGAACATAGTAAGCTCACACAGAGACAGTTTAACAAAATAGAAAGTGTTTTTATTTACAGGTACAGTATGTTTGGACCCAGGGCTGAGGAGGGAAAGCAGAACGAGACGTAAGTGGCAGTTCCAAAAAGTCTTTGCTTAGAATTAGTACTGATGGTAAGTTTTTCTTCTTACAGGTTCTTGATGTCTCGGTCCGGCACGAGAGGGGGAGTTTCCACAATGTGATCTTCGGCAGAGTGACCTGGAGTCCAACACAGGTGAGTGCAGGGCCGGAGTGGGACTCATTTTCAGCCTGGAGTTTGATGCCTCCGACTGGCCCACTATAGATCATGACATATTTTTAAAGTGTTTTTTATAACCTCTAAGCACTATTCTGTAAAGCCTTGTAATTCAGGGTATTTTACAAAAATATTTCCAATTCAGTGCAAGTGGTGTTGCTTCACAATGCAGATTTATTTCAACATAAGTGCACGTCTCCACAATTATTTACAACACATCCTTTTCAATAATATCAGAATCTAGGCTATATTTTATTCATATAGGTGCAGTGAAATAAAAAAATAAAGAAAATATTTAATAAAAAATATTCATGTGTTGTACCAAGTGTACTAACTGAAAGGGAACTAGAGGTTACGAATGTAACCAATGTTCCCTGAGGGAGGGAAGCGAGGTACAACACAAGTTGGCCCCTCAATGCCACATTAGCTTGGCGAAGTGCATTGCAGATTGAGGAAATGAGACTGCGCCACATCTTATATCCAGGAGAGCGGGGCCTCCTGGAGATGCGTGCAGCAATCTCATTGGCCTTAACAGGCGTGTTGAAAGAAACTTCTCCAGGTTGGTCTCGCGAGGGCGCAATCCACATATTCATGTGTTCTACCTCGTTTCCCTCCCTCAGGGAACATTGGTTACATTCGTAACCAAGTTCCTCTTGCACCCCGCGTGCATTTATTTACACTGTTGAAGATGTTCATCCAACTAAAATAATTGTAACTCCACGACTTTTTTCTCACGATTTGTTTTGTTACAAATGGCAAAGGTATAAGCGGGACAAACACTGTTATATTTGAGAAGTGAAATGAAGTTTGAGCCTTGACTTGAACTGTGCCTGTGGTCTTCCATTTTCTCACAATGTTTCTCACAGTGGAGACTGAAAGCTGMAATMTSTGAGATAGCTTTCTGTATCCTTCCCCTAAACCATGATGGTGAACAATCTTTGTTTTCAGCTCATTTGAAAGTTGTTTTGAGACTCCCATGCTGCCACTCTTCAGAGCAGATGCAAAGAGGAGAAAAACTTACAATTGCCCCCCTTAAATACCCTTTCTCATAATTGGAGTCACCTGTGTATGGAGGTCAAGGGTCACTGAACTTACCAAACCAAATTTGAGTTCCATTAATTAGTTCTAAAGGTTTTGAAATCAATAAAATGGCAACAGTGCCCAAATTCATGCACCTGCCTAATTTTATTTAACCAAATATTGCACTTTCTGTAAATCATATAAACTCCATTTCACTTCTCAAATAACACTGTGTTTGTCTCCTATATGATATATTTTACTGATTTTTTTATCCAAAGAATTAATGATTTATAAAGGTAAATCAGGAAAATTAACAAGGCTGCCCAAACGTTTGTACCCCACTGTAGTCTGGCATAATAATAAAAGTAAATGAATTATTTAGAAATTGTCTTTATTGTCTCTCAGTGGAAAAATTCAGGCGCATCAGCAGCAAAGTGACAGAAAATTCACGCAGGGTAAAAATATGTAAAAAATGAATGAATAAGAAACTAAGTAAAACAAAAACTTTATTTTAAACCAGAAACAGGCTGTCGAGGCAGCAACAGGTACAAAACCTGAACAGTTAAAGGATACAGAAACAACTGGAGGTGGCAGGTGAAGCAGCAATGCTAAACTGAAGATGAAGGAGAGCTGGAGGACAAACTCACATTTACTCACTCTGCTGTTGTCTTTAGTCACCCTCCTCTACACATTTATTGTAATCACTGCTATAAATAATGTTTTCTTTGTCTCTCTTCCAGAGGAAAATACACCTGGACCAGCCCTTCTGTGTTTGGATCTCTTCAAGTTAAATATTTAGCTTTTAACTAAATAATTAGCTTGCTAACTAAATGCTTAGGTTGCAACTTAAATATTTACTTAGCTAACTAAATATTTAACTTGCAGCTTAAATATTTAGTTTTGAGCTAAATAGCTCAAAACCATTTAACTTAAAAATTTCTCTGCAGCTGTCAGTCCTTCAGTTCATTGTTTATTTGTGAAGTGATTAAGCAGTGTTAACGATCCGACAGAAGTTCATGATAAAATGACCAGCCTTTCCCTTGAATGGCAGGGAAATGTCCATCCATCCATTTCTTTATGAGGTGTGGGAGAGCTGGTGTCTGTCTGTCTATGGATAGTGGACACAGACACCCTGGACAGATCTCCAATCCATCACCTTGAGACAAACATTCAGCCTCTCACTCACACAGAGGGATCATTGAAAGGGGGATCATTTAACTTTTAAGGTTTTTAGGTTGCTGGAGGAAACCTCATACACAAGAACACACCAACAATTTAGAGTAACATTATGTTCCATTTAAAACACAGCTTACATGTTCTTTACAGACACAATGCCTAGGAACTGGACTTCACACATTTACAGTACGTATAAAATACAAAGTGCATAGAAAAGAAGGTATGGGTAGTTGTGAACATGGAATATTATTTGTGGCAATTAAGCTGCTCTGTAGAATACAATCAAACTTTTAATGTAAATCTGTTAAAGTCCATCTTTACACCTTGAGCCATCTAAACAATGGACCTTCTGTTAACCATGTTCAGACTAGTTCTGTCTGTCCAGTTAACCCAGTTAAAGCATGCCAAACCCCAGCTAAAATATTAATATCCTGATAAATATTTGTTTTAATGACTCTTAGTAATTGGAAAAAAAATAAACTACAGTTAACTTCTTGCTGTAAGGTGACATTTCTAATTAGTCCAACATGAGGCCTTAACGTTTCATGAAACCCATCTAATGCTTTATGGAATATTTTGGTAACAGACAAAAATATTGACTACAACAGTTATTGACAAAGTGTTAAGTATACAGGGCTTAGACAATGAAACTGAAACACCTGGTTTTAGACCATAACATCCCTCTCAGACAGCTTCCTCTTGCATCCACAGTTAATCCTGTTGGATGTGGTTGGTCCTTCTTGGTGGTATGCTGACATTACCCTGGATACTGTGGCTCTTGATACATCACAAAGACTTGCTGTCTTGGTCATAGATGCACCAGCAAGACGTGCACCAACAATTAGCCCTCTTTTGAACTCTGGTATGTCACCTATAATGTTGCGTGCATTGCAATATTTTGAGCCAAACTGTGCTGTTACCCTGCTAATGGAACCTTCACACTCTGCTCTTACTGGTGCAATGTGCAATTAATGAAGACTGGCCACCAGGCTGGTCCAGTTTAGCCATGGAACCTCCCACAGTAAAATGACAGGTGTGTCAGTTTCATTGTCTAAACCCTGTAGAAGAGTTGTGTTATAAGCATGCGTTGGGGAGGATGCTCAGCTACTACCAAGTCAAATGTTAGGCTTTTAGTTGGCTGTGGCAGCCATCTTTAATTGGGTTGACTCCAGGTGGTAATCAGCTGTAGGCATTTATTCGCTGAATAATTAAACACATTTTTAGCATGTATTCTGAATGACTCACAGATGTTGCACCAAGATTTAACTCAATATCTGAACAACTGTCTGCATTAGGGCTTTTTATAGGATGACCAAGGTTGATTAGCTGTGGTGGCCATCTTGAATTGGCTCAACTGCAAAGTTAGTCAGTTGTAGATACATCCATTTTCTGTATTTGTTCAGTTGTTCATGGGATTATTTTTCCAACATGACAAATGACTTAAGACAAAATCATTATCAGCTTCATCCTCTGTGACAAGTGATGGCTGCAGTTTAAATGAACTGAGCTTTATTAGAAAGAAAAAAAATGACAGTCTTGCAGGTTCAGGTATCAGTAATGTTTATATGAACTGTTAAAATGAATTCAGAATAATAAAATGAGCATGTGAACACAATGACTATGTATTGCAGCACATTTTAGAGACCATCCAGGCAACTTTGAAACAATGTTCTGTCAAAAAGTTTTCCATGGTTAGGACGTTATATCAGCTGTGGCAACAGTCACTGAGGAGGAGGAAGTATGTCTATGTCCAGGCTAGGCTAGGGGCTTCTAATATCTGTTACTGCAGTAATATGACTGCACATCATGCTTATAATGGCTGAATGTGTTGTTTTGTTAAAGAGTTGCTTCACAAGATTAAAAACCATAAAAACATCTTGCTTGTTTGGCTAGCCTTTAGTCCAGCTTGGTCAAAGATTTTTGCATCTTTCTCCACACTTCATACGCTGACTGATAAAATGCTAACGATTGAAAACAGTTACACAGAAAATCACCTGAAAGATGACCAGAGTATCCCATTAAATATCACCAAACTTCAAATAACTTATTCAGACCTCATCAACCAGAGCTGCTACCATCTGTACAAGATTAAATGTTTACACTATAATACAGATTACCAAGATAAATTAATAAAACATTTTAGACAAGGTCAGCCATGTTAATACAGTTACAACTCTTTTTGTAATAGAATAGAATAGAAACAGCCTTTATTGTACCGCGTGGGGAAATTCAGGTAATAATGGTTTTTAAACCATGAGTTCAAGTAAAAAAAAGGTACCTGTACAGTTTTTTGTAATCTGGTTCATTTGTGTCCTCATTTGTTCCATCCCCTGTATGAAATGAATTCATTTCGTTATAGAACGCAGGTCTGTATGAGAACTTTTCTTTGATAAATTCTAATCTGTTCCAGCGTTTATGTCCTTATCCAAGTACAACCAGATAATCTAAAAATAATAATAAGTAGGTCTTCTGTAAAAAAGCATTTTGTCTCTCCTCCAAGAAACGTCTTCAGTCTGAGGAGTTTCAGGTAAACTCAGCCTTACTTAGGGCACTAATATTCGATTGCTAGGCTTATATCCACTTTTGTATGTGAAAAACCAGTTTGATTGTCATTGTTAAATTTGTTTGTCCACCATGTTGAAAGCTGAGTTTACCTGTAACTCCTCAGAATGAAGAAGTATCTTGGAGGAGAGATAAAACGTTTTTTTTTTTCAACAAAGAACCTATCCAGAGTACCTACTTTACTTTTTTCCCAGGTTTTTCTGCCTGGTTTATTGAGATGCATCAGATTATATCCAGATAAATAATAATCTGCTCCAGTGTATCTGTCCTTATCCGAGTATATCCAGATAAACTGGTGCAGCTTTCATCAGAGTGAAGAGCTTCCTCTGAATGTCCTTTATGACAAGGCGTTGTTGTGGCTCCCTTTGCCAGCAGCCCAGCATCATGTCATAGACTTCCTTGGGGCACAGTCTTGGGCACTCCAGCACCTTTCCTTGAGTAATACATTCTATTACCTGAAAAGAGGAAAAGTGAATTAAAAATCTAAAAGAAACATGGGCCAACACAGCATCACAGCTCCCTTTCAGTGTGTTAGAGAAGAACAGGGTAAAAAATGAAATGTTGGTTTTACCTAACCATGTTATGTTACCTGGTTCCACTTAACTGAGTTGAGTAAATACAAAGCAATGAACCAGTTTTTAACCAAAGAACATGAGTATATTGCCTTGAATTTACTCAACTCAGTTAAGTGGAACCAGATAACATAAAATGGTTAAGTAAATCCAACATTTCATTATTTCACAGTCTGCTGAACATTTGATAGACATCAAAATGATTAATCCAACTGATACACAAGTAGCACCTTTTTACATGCACAGATATGTGTGTTAGGAAATCACAAGTAAACTAATTTCATGTGGTAGTTTGAAGGACAGGACCAGTATCTGCAGGTACAGCAGGTAAAATAAGTATTGAACACGTCACCATTTTTCTCAGTAAATATATTACTAGAGGTGCTAATGACATGAAATTTTCAACAGATGTCGGTAACAAAAGTGATCCATGGCATGGGGAAAAAAGTATTGAACACATGAAGAAAGGGAGGTGTAAAAAGGCATGGAAAGCCAAGACACCAGCTGAAC